CACACACACACACACACACACACACACACACACACACACACACACACCACCAAGTGCACACTCCCAGCCAACCACCCACCGGAACCTGGCAGCCACCCCAGCCAGCGGGCCATCTATGGCAACCAGGAGCCACATTCCAGGAGTCCAAGCAGCCCCAGGGAGGAACGAGAGCCTTGTTTTGAGCTTCTGGTACCCACAGGTGCTGTCAATTGTAGGATTTATTGCCAAGAATAAACAAATCTACCAAACAAAAATTTCCTTAAGTTGTGCGCTAAATATATAATTAGTTTGTTTATATAACCTAGAAAATTTACTGGATACTTCAGAATTGGTTTTCACCATTTTAATGAAACAGAGAAAAAAATGATGTAAGTTAATAAAAATTCTAAATGAAACTGGTAATAGTCCTTCAAATACAAGCTTTTTATTTTATGCAACAAAAAGAGGAAAATTATCTAACCATGACAAACTTTTTAGAATAAATGTCAGATCATAGCTTAATTAATAACTTGAAGCAATCACAATAATYAGCCACTAAAAGTACAAATCTGCAGATGTTTTGTTGTGTACTCACCCACTTTACGAAGCTCAAATGATGTGTCAAACTGGTGTCCAGCTGCCAGCAGGAGAACAGCATAGTTTATACCAGAGTGTAGTGTTGGCTCTGACTCAAATCCCTTTTTAAACCTGAGAGAAGAAGAAAACGAATCCAATAAATGCTGATCTCCTAAGAAATGCATCAGCCTAAATCTCAGGTATCTCTGAGYTAACTTCACAGTGCCGCTGCTTTCCAGTTAAAGATGGAAAAAAACAATTACAGACATGTTGAGCTGGGGCCACAAGATGCCAAACAGCAAATGAGAGTACCTCCCAAATAACAAGAAATTTCATAAATTTAATGACCAATCTGTTCTGCCACAGAGAGAGGTGGGGATGTTATTAGAGACTCGAGCCAAGTTTCAACTTGGAACTGAAAATACCAGCCAGAAGGGAGCTCCATTATCTTAGCAGCATATTCCATTGCCAAGTATATGAGATTTTAATTTCAATTTCCAGATGAGGATAATCAGATGCCTGGTGGTATTAGGTAAACCTCAATTATCTCCTGTCAGGCTTTGYGTGCTCACTTGACAACAGGGCTCATAAAACAGAAGACCTTCCTTTAAGTTTACAGAATTAACTATTTAAACATTAAACGTCTGCCWGCTGATTTAAAGTGTATTCACTGGATCAGAGAAGTGGTTCCCAAACTTGGGCCCACCCAGTGCCAGAGAGCACAAGGGGGTCCATATCCTTGTCTGCTCAGAACTTGTGAAAATATAAATTTATTGCTTGTAGATAAAAAAAACAAGTCCATTTGAAAATTTTAAACCTTTTTTATCAAAATAAGTTTGTAACTATTCACTTTATTGTTTTATTTTGATAAGAAAATAAAGCTTTAATGTGTTTAATTGGGAGAGGGGGGAGTGGGTGTTGGAGTGACTCCCTCCATTCCAATAGGGGGCTCTATYGGTTGTTTACATTTGTTCTGAAGGACTTTGTGTAAAGCTGGAAGTACCATTGCCAAAGCCGGAAGTGACTTTGCCACATATAAAAGATGTCTCAAAAACACRACATTTACAGTTKAATACATTGTTCAGCATGGTAAGTTTTTCGTTACTGCAATATTAAGCATTTGTGTAACTGTGTAGATTATTCTTAATGTTGTAAACTATTGAGAAAATGTTTTTTTCTTGCATGAGTGTTCAGGAGAGATTAGTATTATGCTAGAAGTTTTCTTATGGGTTTAGATTGTGTATTAGCAACTAATTAGCACAATGCTAATGCTTGATTTGGATTATGATTTAGGGTGAGGCAGGGCTCGGCTTGGCTTGGAAGTAAGAAAAGGGGGCTTTGTGGAAAATGGACTGGGAACCACTGGATTAGTGAATGGAAGACATAATAAAGACACTGTATATTAAGATTTCAAACAGTGACACGATGGGGAAATTTTGAAAAAAGAATGAAACACATTGTCTCCTTAGTATCTGACAATAATCCAAAATATAAATTTCTCAAGAAATGATTTAGCCTCTAAAACTAGTTTCTGTTAATTAAAACTAAAGAAATTACTAAATACACTTAAAATATACACATCTTATGTACATCTGTGGTATAACTTTGTTGTGTTTTTCTCTGAGATACAAGCAGAACTGTGATTTCCAGAACCACAACTGTCAACAAAGCCCTTGATTCTGGATTTTAAGTTTGTATTTAACTGATTATTGCTTTTTGTCTACTGGAGTGATGAAAAGAAACAAACATGTTATGAATATTTGTTAAAGTTGAACATTTGGTTAACAATAATCAAACTAGATCCAAATTTAAACTGGAAAATGATTCTGAACTAATGTCATCGTCCAATTTATTATTATTAACTATTATTA